TAATGACAGACGTAAAATTATTTGTTTAGTGTATGTCTAGCTGCATGATTCAACATAGTTTTCTGACATAAAGCAAAAAAAAAAAAGTTACTTGTTGGAGTGGCTCTCGGTCTATAAATGAATGCTTTGTGAAAATAACATTTTATTTGTTATGACTTAGCTGTATACTTGTCTCTTTTCTATTAAATCTATCGAGAAAAAAAATATATATATATACGATTTGGGATGAATTTGTCAAGTTCCGAATTTGCATAAAATTCGCAATTCATTCAGAGAAAAAAAACTTTTTCCAAGTTTGAAATCTTCAAACTCTTTGATTTCATTTAAAACGAACGAAAAAAAAATACTATGGAAACCTAAACATGTATAAATGTACATAAAAAACGCTTAAAAATTCTATACAAAAAAAAACTTGTTTTTGCTTTTCATCCTATGATCTGTCATCTTTTTTTATGAAATATCGTGTCAATTGTTGTGTGACAATAGAAAAAAAATTGTGCATTCTTGGTCATGCTTTGTTTATTCCAATTTAGTAACATGTTCGGTTGAACTCTGTGTTTTTGTATACGCATCTGAATATTTATAGTAATATTTATTGTGTAAATTACGGAATCACAAATGAATTTTGTTGTGAACTTTGTGGTTTTGTGTTGTTTGTTTGTTTTTTATTTTGCTTTGTATGGCAAGTACATGAGCCTTTTTTCCGCTATTCATTTGAACGGATGAATTTATCTCTGCCTAAGCACCAACGGCACCCATTGCTGTGGACACACTCAATCGATGAATTTACTCATCACTCAATGTGCTTAGGCTTGCGTTTGATCAAGATTTATTCAACTGCTCTGCCTCTGGGCGTCGTTCGGTTCCAATTTTTAACAGATTTGCAAATTCTATTTCTAACGCTTGTCGACCCTGTAAGGTGAAAGATTTTTTTTTTCTGTTAACAAAAAGAGCAACCTTTCATAGACATTTTAACATACTTGAATATTTTGTGTTGGTATCTGTAAGGCTAATGCCATGGCTGTGGCATCGAAGCTCTCATCAAGTGCAATTAGTGCACCGTGCACACCTGATTCTAATAGATTATTACCATATTCCTGTTGAAGAAACGAATTTGACTAAATTTTGAAATAGGCCTTTGATTTTTGGAGATGAATATTTTTCCCGTTCAAATGTGAAATTTACGTGATTTGAACAAAAGACATGATAAATTTAAAAAATGATTGAAAATTGAATGTTGGTCACCTTCAGTCCAATACTTGAGATCCATTTAATGACTCGATCATTGCTCCACACAAGTACGTCCGCAATAATGTTTTCAGTTGCTTTTCGTCTTTCTTCCAATGCATTGCGATCGTAGTTTAATCGTTTCAGGCACGAAATACCATATTGCAAACTAGTCTTATGGAAGCTATCGACCATTTTCAATTGGCCGCGCAAATCTTTCTTTGTTAAATGATCTAACATTCTTGCATCCACTAAACATTCCATAAATGTTGTCCGGTATTGTGGTAAACCAATGGTTGGCAGCCAATAATTTCCGATCCATTCGTGATTCATGTCACCTACAATTGAAACAGAAAAGTATTTGAATTAGCTCCATTTCTTTCTTAAAAAATAAAATTGAAAAAAAAAAGAACTCACCAAAAGCTAATGTTGTACGTGTTGTGTGCGGAGCAGATGGTGATGTGAGTGAAACCATTTCTTGAATGGCCAACCGAAGTTTTAGACGATGTAATGGATTGCTGATTCCGATTTCACGTTGAATTTCGGTGTCGCTGAGTGCGCTCATAATTGCTCCCGATTTGACATTTGCTCGACATGCGGCCACATACCAAGCCGGCATTCCAACCCAAAGTTCAAGCCACGCAACAATCGTTGGCCCATTCCACAATGCAAACGGTGTGCCGGCTTTCATTGCTTCACCAAGCAAATCATGCCGATAGTCATGCTCTTTTTTCTTTTGTCGTCCATAATCAACGGATTTACTACTAACACGACCGCCGGACATACTGAGCGTATCGTAATTTGAATCTATGTCGCTTATCAGCGACAATCCACTCATAGACATCATGCTAGCCGATCCATCTGGCATTGAATCCTTGACACCTTTTGCCTGTAATTTTACGTGCCGAAATGAAGACGATGAAATATGTGTTCATTAAAATAAAAATAATGCATAAAATTCCAATTTAAAGTTTTAAACAAAAACTTTTTTTTTTCAAAAACTTTACCTTTTCCTTTTTACTGAAAAATCGCCCCAAACTAGATTTGATGCTCTTTTTCTTTTGTGCTGCAGACACCGGATCACGGCAAACACTCGATGTTGGCGTTTGTAGCATACTCATCGATCCCATTGTATTGAGATGTCGTAGCGATTCTTGGCTTCCGTGGCGTGAACTAAGCGGTGATGGTCCAAAATTTGAACTTCCAACTCTGTGTGTGTATGTATGTTCAGTGCAGAAATGGCGTGGACGGCGCGGGTCAAAAAGCAAATCGAACATTTTGCAAAGGTAAAATTATGCAAAGGGAAGAAATAAGAAGAAATATTGAAATTATAATATGAAAAAAAGCAAAAGCATGGAGTTCTGTTTACATTTATATTGCTTAATTAAGCATGTACAATATTGAGAGAGCATAGTTATTTTGAATGAAATAATCAATGGAAAAAAGTTAATTTTTTTTTGCAAAAGTTACAGAAAAAATGATGTTTCTCTTTTATGGATTGTTTTTAATTAAAAAAATGTTAGCCATTACATAAAAATCAAAATGAAAATATAATCTTATGAAAAAAAAACAAAAAAATATATAAATAAATGGAATGTCAATTGAAGAGATACGTAATCCTAGCATTTCTACGCGCAAATACCCGACTTTCTTGAAATTGTTTCAATACCCGCATGTGCAAAATTGTTTACTACTCAGTTAAGCAATTTTGGAAGTTATTGACTATAGCCAACTGAGATTAAAGTTATTTAAAATTGATTTGTTTCATTTTCCAGTCGAATTCCGAAAAGAAAAATATAACTCAAATCAACTTCAATCCAATAAATTATCCGTCTGTTTAACGGCTTCAATTAATAAAATAAATGTTCAGTTGATTTCAGCTAGCCAGTCACTTCTTTTGCACTCGGGTAGTCATTCAATGAATTTATAAATGAGAACGAAATGAATTCAACAATGAGAACATACTTCTTCAAAATTTATTTCCACAAAGAAATGACGTACAAAAACTCATGTAGACAAAGTAAAAAAATGAAATAGTAAAATGTCATGTATAAAAATGTTAATGTGTATAATATATAAATTTAATCGTGCATAACATGCAAAAAGTGAAATGTCAATAAGTGCAATATTATTGATAAGTATGTGAAACGTGTATGTATGATTTTTGTGTGTATATATTGGAATATGATGGATATTTTGGAATATATTGGATTCATATCGTTTTAAAAATATTGAATATTATTCAAAGAAAATCGGATTCTTTCCTCGACATTCGATGTGAAATTAAAAGTATGAAATCGATTGTGAGCAATGATGTAAAATGCCGAATCTTCGATCTTGCAGACCAAATGGTGAATGATTCACCATAACAACAGACGAATTGACATTGATAAGTGGCATATTGGAAACAATGGAATGTTTCCGAAACCGATGTCGGCTGCTGGTTCGCCCGGTTTTTGTTTGCAGAAGTGATAATGGTGGAATATGCAATCGAACTTTCTTCAAACTATTTCTTCGATAGTTATCATAAGATGAGGATGGTAAATTATTTCTTCGTTCGGTGTATGAGTATGGTGTTTGACGTCGAGAGAATGAATTAAGTTCAAATTGAACTCGATTGCCGATTTGTTTGCTTTGGGGTTGATGGTAACGAGTGGATTTCAAGATGGAGGTGGGCTTTGGAATGTTCGACATACGTTTGGATGATAACAACGAACGAGAACGAACTTGATACGGAGATGAATTAAATTTATTTGGATAGCCAATAGTCTGCGGTACTGGATGATGACGATATGTGGTCGGATAGGGGCAAGAAGTGTTTGGATATTGTATGGGCATATGATATTTATGATGTGTTTTAATAGTGTTAAATTGTGTTTTGTCTAACCTAAAATTGTGATTTTGATACAAATTGGCGGTGTTAGTTAACCTTAAATTATTATGTCCTTGCGCTGGTGGCAATCCCATTGAGCGTCTGTGTATCAAGTGGTAAATTTTTATTTTGTTTTTGTATTTTAGATTTTATTGCATGAAGCACGCATCAGACAGCCGTAAAATGCATATTTTTCAAAAATAGAATACAAAAGATTTTAAGAACCATGGTGTGATTAGCTGTTTTCATTATGAAAATAATCGAATTTTTCTTACGACAAATGAATGCAAAGAATTTTTTGCTTTAAATAAATTGTATTACGAGCAATTACAGATGTGATAGATGATAAAAAAGGCAAGCAAGCCGATATTTTCGCTCTTATTTTGCTACAAATTGTAATTGAGTTAAATGAAACGTACCGTCTTAACTCCTCTTGACTATGAGCTAATGCTTGAGCAACACGTTCCAATCGCATTGAGCGAGCTGTAAGTGGCGATGCAGCACCGCCCGAACTCGAATCACCTATCGATGACATTCCATGGATTTCGTCGCGTGATATATCCGCAGACAATGCCGGAAGATTAAGCTATTATTGTTGATTGTAATAAAAATAAAATAAAAGAAAAATATATAAATCAGAACAACCATTTTAGAATGGGGCAAGCATATGAGCCTTTAATTGCTGCTACTGTTATAAAGATATAAAAAAATACGATTTTATGAGAATTCTTATATTGTACAATGAAACAGTTATGAATTTCTTTAATGCGTGTATAAGTGTGTATGTAGGTGTATCAACATGTAAAAAAGGTGAATGTAATATGTATAGTGTGTATATTGATTTTTTTGTGGTTGGATATGATCTGCTGCACCTATGCAAAAGTGTGTATGTACAAAATGCATTTTCATATGTTAGTAGACTTATATATCACTGGTCGATCAACCCAATGAATTGTATTGATTTTCTGTTTCGTTTTTTTTTTGTTGGTATATATCAAAATCGAAACATTACCTCTATATTATCATTTATACGAAAGTAAAATCGGGGAACAAAAAGGAACACATACTGAACAAGAAGAAAACCCATAAACAAACATGCAAACAGAAAACAGGAAATTACTTAAATGCAAAAGTAGTTTAAATAGAGAAACGAAATAAAACATGTTCTGGAAAATCGGCACACAAAATAATTTAAATCAACATCAAAGTAAGAGAATCATCAGAAACCAATGAAACATTTTCAATATAAATACAAAAGGGGAAGTTAAGAGACTCGAGTTGGAATATTGTGCATTGGATTTCATGTGGAAAGATTGACAGTGGTTGTGTGTGTGTTTGTGTGTGTATGTGCATGTATTTGTATTTGTTTGTCTTAGTTGTTTTGTTGTGTGTGTTTATTTGTGTTTAAATTTAAATTGGATTTTATCGTTTTGAATGCGACTGTTTTGGTTGCTTTTTGTGGGATAGATAGAAGTTCAAAATGTGATTGTTTTGTTTTTGTTTTGTTCACCTGACTCGATGGAAGTGATTCAGATAATTGTCCTGGGCTAATCGAAGCCACGTATTGATGAAGATGGGCTGGCGACATTGATGCCGGTGCCTTTTAGATTGTCGTACATATTTTCGCATATTTTAGTTTTTTTTTTGATATACAATTATATTCAACAGCCACCCATTTTCCAATTCCAATAAAACGGTGCAACACACATTTACAATGAACCATAAAGTTTTTTTTTGCCAATTTTGAAACATGTACAACATCCAATTTCGTGTCGTGTGCAGAATGGTATATTATTTTTTTTTTGTTTTGTCACAAAAGAACGGAAATTTGCAAGTATTCCGAAATGGTACAGCGAGAGAGCAAGAGAGAGAAAGAAAGAACGATAATAGATTGGTTGCAATTGAAATACAGTGTAGAAATGTCGTGTACAAATAAAATTTGAAATTTGACAAAAAAAAAATAAGAGAAGAGAAGAAATGAAAAGAATATCACGAAAACCAAAGAAAAAAGTAGACAAAATATTAAACAAATTTTATCGATTTAAATTCGGATAATTCGGAAAGAGAAACAGTGATCGAAAAACTTTCACTTCTGTAAACGCAAACAACACCAAAAAATAATCGAAAATTTCTACAAAAAGAAAATTGTTTGTATAAAACACCGATAAACCGTTTTTATGTGTAGAAACTCTAATACCCAAACAAAACAAAATATAATCAAATAAGAGAGGGAAAAAACCCAACAAACATATTTGCCAAAGATTCTATCGCCATTCTCTTTAAATAGACAACAATTTTGGTTTTAAATCATTTTAAATAGCATTTAACGAACATACCGTATGATATTTGTGTAAATAATCACGATTTGGACTATTTGGTGTACTGCGTCCGCTTAATGGCGGACTTTGTCGATCCATTGAACGGCCACGCGCCAACAAATTCATGTGCTCTAAACTGCCCACACGTGATTCAAGCTCTTCAGCTCTGGCCTCTGTCGACTGTTTTTCTTCCTGTATTAAACGTATTTCATTGTTTATGGCATCTAATTGCTCTTGCAACATCATGGCTAGTGTTTGTGCATCAGTGTGTCCCGTTGGTGACATTATTTCAGTGGTACTGAACAAACTTTCAGCATCATCTGTCACATCGGTTGGAACATCATAACCGGGTTGAACGTGTGACAGACTGTGTGCTGATGGCATCTTGGCCCATTCCTTTATAAAAAAAATATTAGAAGAATTAAAAATCGAGTGGATAGTTGTTTTTTTTTTTTTTAGATTGAGTTCTTACAAAGTTTGCCTGTTCAGCAAGACTTCGTGCATAAGCTTGCTCCTCTTCAAGTCGCTTATTGCGTCGCAATGAATGTGTATCGAAATTGGTATGCTGCGATGTGCTGCGTGTAAAATTATTTGGTTCGACTGTTGCGACATTGCTTGGTGAAAGGCTACGGGTGAGCGCTTCAGTTTGTTGAATATTAAATGCAATTTCCTGCTGAAGTAGTTGCCGTTTGAAATTCTCCGTTTCCAAGCGTGTTTTTGACAATTCTTTGACTATTTCGGTTTTATCATGATGCATCTCTTCGGCCAGTTTGCGTGCCTTCTCCAATTCTTGTTGTAATACATTCTTTTCATCTAATGCATGCATACGCTCTTTTAAATGAACTTGCAATCGATCATTCGATTCGGAGAGCAGTTTATCAACGGTCGATGATAAGCGTGCATTGTGCTCTTCATTCATTTTGAGACGTTGATTCAAACGCAATACTTCCGTATTCTTCTCATCCACTTGCGTTTCCAGTCGATTGATTCGATCTTCAGCCGACCCCTGTCGTTCTTGTGCCTGTAAATTTTTCAAGGTTGGATACGATGTGTTATGAATTTAGTAAGAAATGGATTTCGAACAAGATTTAGTGGTATTTTTCACGCATTCCGTAAAAACCAAACATGAAAAGAGCATGCCAAAAAAAGGAATTGTTGAGTTGGGACAAACACAATTTATCAACAAAGGAAATAAAAACAAAATTATTCCAAATTGCCTTGGTTTTATAAAAAAATATATGGAACCGAAAAATCCTTTTATCTGATAATGGAAATGATGTAATTCCGAAAAAAAATCCAAATCAAAATAACACGTATTCAACCAAACGATACACAAAAAAGACTTAAACATGAAATATGAAAATGGTTTGTACATCAAAAATGCTCGATAAAAAAAACACATGAAAATTATGGGTAATTTTAACTTGTGCCACACCGATAAACGCATGACGTTTTATTAACACATATGTATATGAATGAAAATGGTAGAAAATTTTCATTTATTTTTATTGAGTAATTTTGTTGTGCGTTTTTTTAAATGATTTTTTTTGTATTAAATAGAGTGGTTTGATGTATGGATATAATATTGAGTGTTGTGATTTTGATGAAAATGAAGCTGTTGGTTTGCCAATGATATAAAATAAGCATGTTTAACATGTTTTTTGTTGTTTTCATTTTTTTTTTGAAAAGAGAAAGATGTATACACAAGGACGGAGGGCAATTAGATTAAATTTTAAATCAGATAATCAGTGCATGTGTCATAATAAAGATGTCTGTATTTGTAATTATTTGGAAAATAAATAGTAAATTTCTGTTTTGTATATTTGTGTGTTTATTGAATATGTAAATGGTTTGGTGTTTTTGTTTTGTACACAGTTTTTTTTTTCGTGGTTGAAAAGTGGGGTGACGACTTTTAATGAACGACGAGAGAAAAAATCGCTTCGAATTACATCAGCCGCCTGTGGGGCCATGATGAAACGCTTCCATTTTACGCCGCAATTTATCAGTATACGAATTGCGTTTGCCTCTCGCTATCATCGCAATTTCTAATTTGTTTTTTTTTTTCTTATTGCAAAAGCTATTCTACAATGTTTTTTAGGTAAATAATACAGTCAAGCTAATCTACCGATCACACAGTTAGATGTAAAACGCAGTAAGTCTAGGTTATTATGTCTTTGCACTCATTATTACAAGCATTCTAAATCAGAAAATTCACATCTGTCAGCAGATTTCGTTTGACATATGGCAATCATTAATTCATATGTAGCGTTTCTTTAAATATTCAGCATGATCATCTCATTCAGAAATAGGACGAGACAGTCATTTCTACATTCTTGCTGTACTTCGCTTCGGAAGTGATTATTAGATAGGAATGATTGAGATTTTTCATTTTATTATTGTCGAACCAAAAAAAAAAAATTCAAAGATTCATATTTTTTGTTCACGCATTGTTATCGTGATGCTGTGTCTGCTTTTCAAACAATATCACGCGATTCAACAGTTATACGCATTCAATTAGTTACTTTCCTTGGAAACGTTTAATTCAAAGCAGTTTCAAATTTTTTCATTCTCCTTTGAATCATCGTCATCATTGAATGTGTTTCTTCGAATTTCATTCGAACAGTACAAGGAACTTTTTAATTATATCGATTCGAAACAATTACTTGATATAAGTACTCGCTAGAATGAGTGAGCTAAGTGTCTACACTTAAAATTGCAGCTTTGCAATCAATAATATTTGCCATAACGTTCTCGTTACTGTGTATTCCCACTTCAAATCTACTATGAGCACACGCTTGTAATCTAAAACCGAAATTCGAAAGAAAATTGAATTTAATAATGCAGTCATCATCATGCATCACTATGAATATTGTTCAAATTATGCGCATATATAGCAACTGTAAAATTGTTGCATAAAATTACCGAACGTCGCTTTAACATTTTTATCCATCTATAATTCATTTTTCGCAAAAGATATTATTGAAGAAACGACGCTAGTCGTAAAATTACTCTGTTTTTAACGCTCAGTCTAGTTAGTAATGTAATATTTAATATTTGATTGGAAATGTGCTAAAATCGATTTGAATTCTTAATTATTTGAGAAGCAATCGAATGTAGAAAAAGGCAACATTCTATCGAAAGTTTCGATGATGCAAAAATCAATTAACGAGTTATAAATCGTTTGTATAACAATTTGAAATTGCCAATTTATTAGAAGTGACAAGACTCAGAGATAGCATTCCAATGAGTTTACAATAGCTGATTGTCCTTTTCACTTTCGGAAAATAATGGTGGCATACTACCGAAATGTCATTATACCTTTTCTTTTGTAATGAAATGAAATTTTTCATAGAATTGAAATTGTGATTCTGTGAATGCTAAATAGCATTTCCATGGAAATTCGAGAGTATCAAATTACTACTTTCATGCAGCAAGCACTCAATCCACAAGCGAACAGGTTGCTATTAATTTTGAGTCACTCATTTTCGATTACGAATTCGATAGAAGGGCAAGTTCAATTTAAGTACAAATGTTTACAATTTTAATTGCACGTTTGCATTTTTATTCTGCATTTTTTGCATAGTATGCAATTCAAAGCTCATTTAAATTAATTATACCGAAATATGGTGCACGCGGCACAATGATAATGAACGTACAATTAATGTTTTCGCTATTTTCATTTTGAACGAATCGAATCGTTTGTAATAGGCTCAAATGTTTTTTTTTCGTCGTTGGCAAAAAATTGAGTTCAATATTTTAATAATTTGTGATTCTTCGTGTATTTAGATTAATTTTTCATTCTAGCAATTAGTGTTAATCTTATATAATTTGTCGCAGAGGACGATTCATATTCAATAGAAGTCATAATTCAAATTGGAGTAAATTTATTTCAATTAAATTCATCTATCATTTTACAATCAATGCCGTTTGATTAATGCATACCTCTGATACGATTGATTTCAATTGAAAACATATGATCATGTCCGTTTTTGACATTGCTTTATGAATAACCATAATTCATATATTATAAAATTCCTAACCAAAACACATTTTAAAACAAGTAAAATTACTTTTGTACCACTCATGATGCACATGAAAATTATAAAAAAAAACTATCTAACACGTGTATCAAAAATTTGTTCAAACGAATAAGATGCATTGATTGAAAGAAAAAAAGGTGTAAAAAATACACAAAAAATTGATAAAAGTTGAATTTATATTGGAAGTGCTCCCAAATGAAAAATACGTAAAAGAAATCATTGAGCAAAGAAGACACGATTTAATCAAAATGAGATTGATTTAAATTCAACGTCCGAAAAATCATTTCAAAAAAAAAACTATATAGTGCAATTTATTATAATACATATAAGATATGTCATATCCAAATGATAAAACGAAATAATCTGAATGTCTAGTACAAAACACATTACACCAAAACCGAGACAAAGAGAGAAAGTGAGTGAAAAAAATGTAAAATGTACGTAGTAATAATTTTGGTTGTTGTTTGCAACCATCTTTTGTTGTGACACTGCACTTACCTGCGATCCTACCTGATTGAGAGCCTCCATACGGGCTTTCAATTGCTCTTCCATTTCGGGTAACTTGGAATATTGTGTCAATTTTTGCTCGGACAATTCGAGTTTCTCTTGAATGGCAGCGATTTTTTCGTCTTGTAATTTCAATTGTGCCTCTTTGTGCCGCAGTTCCTGTTCGAGTTTTTCGTTCAAATCGTGCAACGATGTCGATTCACGTTGTGCATGCAAATAACGTTTTTCCAATGTTGCGATACGCTCCTCTTGATCCTCTTTTTGTGCAACATTTTCGCGTAAATCGCGTTGCAATTTCGAACACGTATCTTGTGCTTTGGAAAATTCCTTTTGAACCTTCGATAAATTCTCTTCAACTTCGCTGATTTTATTATTCAGATCGGATACACGGCGTTGCCATTGTGACAATTCAGCAGTCTGTCGCGGAACGTATTGAAAGGATTAAAGAAAATAAATAAAGTGACGACGAGATTGAGAAATCAAGTGAATCGACACGGATAAAATGAAGAATATTTACCTGTTTCTCAATGATTGTTTGTAGTTCGTGTGTTTTGGCAGAATAATCAACTGCGTCAATTTCACCGTTGATTGTTTGTCCAACACTCTATTGGCCGTGATGTAAATGAAAATAGCATTTTTTTTAGCATAAATGAAATGAGAGTAATTTTCATGTAAGAATATTTTAAGTCTATAGACGTGAGGATTTTTATTTTGTATAAGCGTTCCTTCCGTTGCCATATTGCGTAATTATTATTTTATTGCGGATGATAAATAAATATAAATTAGAACCGGGTGTTAATTAGTACGGCATATTACGGAAATTTTCATGAGAAAATTCTGTGTTTTTCGAGCGCATAAAATAACATGGTATAAGCATGACATCAAATAGTTTACGTGACAATAAATGTTGAGTAGTTAGGTTGTTTGTTCTCCTTTTTTTCATTCATCCTCTTTCTTTCTTTCTCTCTTACCTTTTCACCGTCATGGTTCTCCTTTGAGCCATCGCTCTGGTTTGAAATTTGAATTGCTCCCGACTTAAATTGTTGCAACTGTTGGGTAGATATTATGGAAGAAGAAAAAAAATAGACGACATTGTTAGTAAAGTAAATGTAGCTGAATTGTAACCATCTCATATTCATTGCGAAAGCGGCAACAAAGTTACACGAAATAGGAACAATAAAAATGTAGCACTAATATTGCTGGTGAGAATTTATCTGCAATTTTTGTGTGTGTGTTTTGCTTGTCAAGCAAAAATCGGCCATGCAATGGCAAATTATGCTGTTAATATGGAATTAAGCCGATTTGCACTTACTTCTTCTTTGGTTGTATTGAGCTCTTCTTCAAGCGTTGAATTTTTCTCTAGTGACACTCGTAATCGCTCCCGTACCTATGAACAAAACAATTTTTTTGTGTGTGTGAGTATGTTCAAAACAAACGTGAACCAAATAAACATATCAAGTTCAGTCGTGACGTTTTTTTTGAGTGGCTAATTATAAACAATCATTTTGTTTCTATTTCAGCACTTTCGGTAGATAATCTCAATTTGGCCCCCTTTTTTCAAAATACAAAAATTCAAGTATAACAATACGTTCGTTTTGGCAGAACATTGCGATGACATTGAGGTTATCATCACGTGCTTCAAATCAAATTAATTGAAAACGTTGATTGTTTCAATTAAATCGATTGATACTGCGTGTGACGCTACTGAACCAATGGTTCATTGTCTTACTTGACTTATCTTCGTAAAACGTGTTTGTTTATAAGCAAAAAAATTATTATTATAATATGGTCGTATGTTTGCTATCAAAATTCTGGATTCACTGCTATTTAATATCAATTCGATTGAAAAAATCCAAAAAATGTTGATATTTTTTAATGAATCTTTGAATTTAAATTGGCTAATATTGAAATTATACAAATAAAACGAACTACTGAATTTTGACCGAATTTTTTTTCCATGACTAATCCTCTTTTCGTGCTCTTTTGTACTTACCTTCTCATCTAAAGCTTTGTGATGTTCAAATAGACTTTTAAGCGCCTTCAATACTTCAACTTCACTGGAGACCCCACTTTGAGCAGCTGCCTGTCGTTTAACCACAGTCATACGCAATGATCGTTCGTGTCGTGACACCAAACATTCCAGATGCTCCAATAGTAGCTGTTTGTTTACGATGCAAATAAAAAAAAGAAACAAAATTTAAATAAATATTCCCATTAATTATGCCAATTGAGCATATTGAGTGCCGTATGATTCAACCGGTTCTGATGATGATTATGATGATATACATTGGTTTACCCCAAAAATGTAAATGACATCATCAATTTCTTCAAAAGCAAAGTAAATATTTCAATTTGCAAACGACAATGACGTACTTTTTCTCTATAATGGATTCAATAAGAAATGGCAAACGATGCGTCGTATCCAATAACAACGACGACGACAATAAACAACAACAACAACAACGACCAAATAACTCTGTAATCAAATTTGTTTTCTAAATTAAACGCGAAAATTTCCATCACACATTCAAGTGATATCTATACGTACACGTACACTTATAGCAATTGGGTTTGCTTCGAGTATAATGTGAATTTTTTTTCTCGTGCTGACGCTTGTTTTTTGTTTATCAACGTCGGGATGTGTATAACTGTGTGAAACGATGTCACGACCCTTTCACTTGAACAACAAGAAACATTCTATTGCATGATAATGATGATGATGATGCTGCCGCTGATATCGAAATGCCGAGCCGAGCATATATAAGGCAATGCGCAACACATCAATTCAAATCAAATTAAAATTGTGCGCACATGAGTTCAGTGCTAAGTTTCTTATATTATTCGATGAGAAATCCTCGACGGAGAAAGCTAATTAGTTCTCAAAGGAAATACTGGATCGAATAAGATTCTGTTCAAGTTTCAAATATAATTCAAGTGAAAACAAGCAAATTGAAAAAAGAAAAAAAAAAAAAAAAAAACAGTGAAAATGAAAATGTCAGCATTGTTTGTTGCTATGTCGGTGGGTGCATCAATTGTGATTGCAGGACCAGATGATTCCGAACCGATACGAGCCAATGTGTATTCAGGAAAAGACAATAAGAGACCAACATTTGCGCGACGTTGTCGATCACAAGCAAAAGGCTTGGCAATGAAAACCATCGAGCTTGGTAAAGAAATCACCTACAAAACAGCCAACGCAACTGTTTACATCACAGATCGAATTGGAAACCGTGTATCGACAATATTTCAGTGATTTCAAGAATACCAATTCCTCATCAGCAGTGGCTCTGTTTAAAAGTGTCTGTGCTCTCATCCAGTCATCCCATTATTTATTATTATTTCTAAGTAATTTTAATTGTAAAATTGTATTTGCACCGTATGCTAAGTTTGCATTCGATTTGTATTAGATAAGACTGAGAGATTTAGATGCGAAGTAGTAATAAAAGTGAATAAAATGATAATAAAATAAGTTGAAAAAAGAAGAAGAATAAATATGTGTGTGTTTTATTCAATGTTGGCCTGAATGGTTATCAACTGCTTTTCCTGACTGATTTATGGGAATGACGCTGGCGATGATATTAGTACTGAAATGGCATTTACGCGTTCACATTGCTCGTATTGCATATTCGATGAACCATATACTGCACTTGACTCGTTATAAATCTCAATAGCGCTTGTCTAAAATCGAGTTTCAGTGCGATAGTTATGTATATATATATATTTTTTTTCTTCTACAAGTTGAAACACATGTGTACACTGCTGATCTGTTAAATTTCTTTCTTTCGCTTTCTCATTTCTGGCTCATACAATCATATTCTGTCTTTAGTTGTTGTTTTTTTTTGCCTTACCCGTGTGTTATTTCGTTCGGCTTTCAATTCAGCTATCTCCTCGTCACGTTCAAGTAGTGTTTCTCTGGCTTGCGTTAGTTCCTTTGTAAGCGTTGAAAATTCCTGCAAAAATGCCAAAGAGAGAGGGAGAAAAGAAAAGAATTCGCAGATGAGTAAATTGTTAGGTGCACAAAACTTTACTATATGAACTATGATTAAAGAAATATGTATGCGCTTCGCTCCATAAATCAAAGTGAATGAACGCTACAAATAAAAACTAAATATATATCGCATATGAAACGAACGAACGCGTTGAGTATTTTATCAACGCACTTTGCATTTGAAGTAATCATAGAGGTGTATAAATGCATTATGAGCGAATTTTTTAATATTTGTTGTGGTATTAAAAATGTGTACACGCTTCTTCTTCTTCTTCCTTCTTTTTCGCCTTAGATTTTATAATGCGCTGCAATTTAAGTATATGGATAGTTGAATGCCTTAGAGTTCGCTGCATTTTATTCATTCCAATTTTTATGTTTTTAAGTCCGCAATTATGGCGCTAAGAGAATTGCGACGTTTCACACAGAAATTGATTGTACAATATATTTTCTTCTTTGCATTATTAATATTGCTTATCGTGTATGCATGCTTGAAGACAAAAAAAAACACAGAGCCCACCCAACACCTCTTATCTCTCAAACTCTATGGCATTCAAACTGTTCATCTTAAAATTCATATCTAATTCCATAATATATTAATCGTTTCTATAATGTCAACCATCGCCGGAGTTTAAATGTGCCGGCTATATTGTTGTTGTTATTGCTGTGCAATTACTGTTGATCGGTCGTCATGCGGCTATTGTAATAAATTCCATCTCATTGCATTGCAACAAAAACGATAACAATAAATCAAATTCCGTAGTAAATCCATAAAATTAATTACAATTTATTATGTTGGTGATGTTGTTTTGGGTTAAATATTGCCAATTTCGAGAAATGCGTAGTCTATAAAAAGTATGTGAGTTTTATGGTGGTGGCGGCGGTGGTGGTGCCAAGAGCAGGCCCCGATTGCACACATATCGTATAATTGTATGAATGGCGCTCGGTAGCTTTTGTCGAACATTTATTACAACTTTGCTATTGCATATCAGCATAAAACCTCATACATTATTTGGCTCGCATAGTATGTTTTCGAATACATATTTTACGTGGAAATTTTTGCACATTTGGATATATTATTATTATTATTTTCGTTTTACCGTTTATTTCCATGTTTTAATTAACGTCATAAAAGGAATGCGGCAAATGAAACGATACACGAAAAAAAGGCACAAGTAGCTCTACACAGAAACAAGTGTTCGAGTACGCTTACCCGCACTTGCGGTGTTAGTAGAGACTTTACCCCTCAAAATGAGTTACGCACTCTATTTTACTCTATTTTTGGTGTTAGTTTCATCAAACGTATGTGACGATACACTTTGCAATCATATTCGTTAGCGTATACACAGACTCATATGCACGCAACGAAACCTAACTCGTTGAACGCATGCGGCAACGTACATATGTACTACACATGTATCTCTTTTTTCACTGTGATGCGTTTACTTCGATGAAACTAACACCAAAAATAGAGTTAAATAGAGTGCGTAACATTAAAGCCTCTACTAACACCACAAGTGCGAGTAAGCGTACTCGAATACTTGTTTCTGTGTATTTGTATACATACACACTTTTTTTGCGATCTCTCTCTCTCTCTCCATTACTTAATTACGAGCACTTGAACATTTTATGTACGCACGATTTTTTTTTTTTTCAATATGCCTCACACGCCATTCGCAAACGCATTTGGCAATTTGCTGTAAAAATAGAGACCATTTGGAAGGAATACCTGGGCGTTCGTTCTTTTTGTGTAATACAGTAGTAGGATGAACATTTAAAATTCAACCTTTGTAACGAAACAACGATGCCGGTTAATAGATGAACTCAATTAAACCATGTTGAGAACATTAATCAGACGTCTGACGGCACCGGATTGAATTTAAATTTGGATCACCGCAGAGATAGCGAAAGGTAGAGAAAGAGAGAGAGAGAGAAAGATAGATGGAGACTGGGAAAGAGGGAGAGAGAGATAGAGATATACACAATTCAGTGTGACAGAGGTTAAACCAGAGTTAAACGAGGTTGCTCTTGCATTTGAAAAAGAGATCAAATGTCATTAAATGGCGTCAATTTCAATAATTACTAATATCGATTTTCGGTTTATAAAGTGAAAATGGATGTATCTTTTTTCAGTTTTGTTCGATTTTGTTTGTTGTTGCTGTTGCAGTTGTTTGTTCGTTTTACAATCGGACACTGGAAAATAGATAAAGATAAACGGTGTGAGCCTACACACCGAACTCAATATGTTACGAGCTACGAGTAGCAGCAGCAGCAGCCGTAACGGCAATAAATTAGATTATTTTACAAATAGCGCATTCGAACAGCCTCGAAATGTGTAGAGAGAAAAAAATGTCACGTTCTGTTCCTTTTCATGTCTGAAAACATATACTGATAACGGTATACACTTGAACGCAAATCGTTCTATATTAATAGAATTTCCATCTGTAACTCGAGCCGAATGTGTGTTACATGTTTCGATTTGTCAAACTTAATGCCAAATTGCACCTTAATGATTGCTTTTTTTATGTGTGCCAGAAATAAGCGACAAAAAGAATGAACGCTTGTTTACCTTGCAATTCAAAACTTGGATCGATAAGATTCCTAGTCATAGGCCCGATCGTGCGAATGAATCACGCCATAATCTTTCTTACACACACATAAACATACTTACGCCCATATCAGACACTCATTGCATAGCCAAAGTGGAATTGATTGTTTTTCAAATTGGTGACGATGAAAGCGTCGATATCATTCACTAACTAATACATGAATGAACAATAATACATCGAAATTTTTTTGCTATTGTTCAATAGTATTTAAAGTTTGATTGTTTTTTATGATGTCCATCGTAAACAGATAACAAAGAGAAACAATTCATTGAGCTAGTGCCTCGATTTTGGCCCAATTTATTTGTCTAATTTATGGGGCGAATTTCGTAGAATTGCGATTCGCCATATGTCTGGAATGTGGTTCCCGCACATGTGCAAGTAAGTCACAATGATAAAAAGTAGCAAATTTTATATGATGATAATGGAAGTTTTATTGTAACATGTTTTTTTCTCAAAATCAACGTTTTCTCTGCTAAATGCAGAGGTAACATGATGTGAGTGTGTTGTACGCGACGTAAAAGTTTCACCGCGTTTTGCTGAAATAAATGGCAAGCAATTCAAACATTAGTTCTAGTGGAAAAGTTTCTGTGCTATCAACGGGTAATATAATCATATCGTATGAATACAAGTACAGCGCGTTGTGTAATATGAATAAGCACTGAATTGCATTGAATCAAGTGCACGCGGAAAAAAGTAGAAGAGAGAAGAAAAAAAATGTGTGTACTTTTTGTTGGTAAAAGTCATTTGTCAGTATTCCACACGTCGCCGTCGTTCGTGTGGATTGAAGAAATAAAAATTTATTTGCCAAAATAAACATCCGATGAAAATTCATAGTATAATCCGCAATGTGAACGGAAATGAAGTTGAGAGAGAAAAAAAAACACATTGTTATCAACGTGGCAGAAAAGTTTTCTGTGTTTTACTTTCGTTTTAAGGATGACATTATTATGGATTTCGTTCACTTTGTTCGTTTAACTAGCAATTTTTTTTGTTGTTCGTCTTCTGTCTAATCGTTTGAACTATTTTCACTTGGACTGATGATGGCATCTCGGTCGGTAATCGCGATAGAAGCGAACAAATCGATCGAAAAAGAAATCCCATTCGAAGAAAACAAACAGTTGTTTTAGTAGCATTCAGTTTAAGATTGTTTAACCAAACAACACGAACTTATTTTAAATTCAAGACATTGTTGCACACAATATACGCGCGTACATACAAATACAGAGCAAATCAGTTGGGTAAAATCAGTCGTTTGGTTTTGGAAATTGGTTTCATCTGGACAGTTTTTTTCTCTCTCTCTTTCTCCGTTTTCCTATTGAATAAACAAAATCTCGTTGATTTGGGTAAAATCCATCATTTGTTGATCTTTGTATGTTCGATTTGGCGTTGCCAAGTGCTTTTACGACCAACATTATGTAGTCTGGTTTTGAGTGAGAGGAGAAACACATAAAAATCACACCATATAATCGATTTTCTTGGTAGATTTTCTGTGATAGCAAACACGCATTTGCTTTTTCAACATTTACTTTTCTGCATATCGACAATATCCGTTCAATTTTATATCGAAAGTGTATCGGTTGTCGATGTGTCGTAAAAATGTGCTGTTTGTCTAAAATGTATGTATGCGAGGCATTGCGAGCGACTGTGGGTGCGTGTTAAATGTTTTATTTAACATAAAAATCAGTATCTGACACATATACATGTATGTACAAACTAGATGTAGTCTCGAGGCTCGGTCATTGCGAGCAAAACAAGTTTGTGGTTTATGTATCAAATTACAATGTTTGTGATATGGTTAACGCCTTTGTTTAAACGCTTCTTAGCATCGATATTGGTTCGAAAAGCCAAAGAACTAATAAAACATTATTTGCAAGCATCTTGCACGGAATTTGCGGTTGGAAATCACATTGATTTAGATGTTGCTAGCTCGTGTGAAATTCACTTATGGTCGGCATCTTATTGCAGATGGAAACACGTTGGTTTTTGAGCTTACATTTTGAGCCACTTATTCAAGTTGAAATGTTTATATTGGAGATTTTTTTTCTCTCGATTTAATCCATTTTTTTACGACAAATGAGTACATAAAAAAGGAGAGAAATTGATTTTTTTAGAGAAAAATGAAAAAAAGGAGGGTGGATCGATGTTTTTATTGGTGTTGCCTTAGGCCTGATGAAGCCAAAAAGAACAAGTGCCAAAGCTATAAATTATTTTCAATATCCATGTTGTTTTTTCGCTCTTTGTAAATAATAATGAAGGAAGGGCACATTCTGAAAAAGAACGGAAAAAATGCGGAGATCATTTTGATGGAAATCGACGATGAGAAAAATTGGTTTTCTTGTTCAAAACTGATACCTTG